GAAGCTAATAACTTGTTTCTTGCTACTGAAGTGGAGCAAGTAAGCTAGCCAATAGGAATGAATTGTCAATGAGTATGGGGGCAAAAGTCTAAAGACCAAGTGTGCGTGTGTGTGTGTGTGTGTGTGTGTGTGTGTAAGACCTTTATCATCTATTCTGTTATTCTGCAACTTAGTCAAGAGCCAGTTACATACTAAAGTTTTGGTGAGAAGTTTTCTGACTGACTTGCCAGTCACAGTCATTTGGCTTAATCTGAGTATGTGTGGCTGAGACATACACAAAGGGCAGGGTGACACTTGTCTGTTCTACTAATATTCAGCAAAAGGAGACAGTCTGCCTACAGAGATTTGCATACAGTGACATCTCCCAACTTAATTTTCTATCCTTAGAAGGCACACAGGAGGCATTCGACCATCCTCTAATATACAAGTGAACAAGTGGACAAATCAACGAACAAGTGAGTCCCTGCCAGAACCAAGCATGAGAACCTATCACACTGTTGCAGGAGTGCTCCTGGGCTGAGGTTTTGAGTCGTGCGGGCCACCATGTGGCCCTCCTGTGACCTCTGTGACCTCCCATGGTCACATGCACACAGACATCACTCCCAGGCTGGCTCACCTGGAGGAAAAGTTTCAGCCCTTAGGCAGCCTCCCTTTGGGAAAGTCTTTGCCTAGAACATTCCACAAGCCTCACTGTCATGGCCCAGCAATGGTCATTTACAGAGAAGCAATGGAAATGGCACGTTTATAAGACAGCGTGCTTTCCTGTTCCGTGCAGTATTTGAGTGCATCCTGTACACATCTCTGACACGGCATATGAAATGGCTATTTCTGCTTCCTGCTTAAAGGTAGTTCTGTTTTCCAGAGAACAAAGTCACCTCATCGAGGCTTACTGTTGGGGACAATGACACCAGTCCACTCAACTGACGCTGGGCCCTTGCAGAGCATGGCCTGGCACAGTTAATACTCAGCAAATGCTTTCTGATAATGTTATCGTATTTTAGTTAAAGAATAATCAAACACAGATATGAACTTGCAAATATACATCCAGAGCTGCTTCTACTGTCCTTGAAAAGCCTCTCAGGTTTGTCTCAGGTTATATGGAAGGCCCTTGTCATCTTTTTGGGGGGTAGGGGGGAGGCAGGGAAGGTAATTAGGTTTATTCTTTTTTTTTTCCTTAATGGTGGTAGTAGGGATTGAACCCAGGACCTCCTGCATGCTAAGCAGGCACTCTACCACTGAGCTGTGCCCTGCACCCCTCCCTGTCCTATCATCTTAAGACTGCTCTGACTTTGATGGTTTTAGACCTCAACTGAGTTTCAAAATCACTTGACTCAAGCCAGGTACCTGAGGTGGGAATCGTGTTGGAGGGATCCTTGTCTGGGCACCTGACTTCCGCTCCTTCTGTCACCTGCAATGAGACACATGAAGAAGTAAGAAGAAATGGATCTTGCAGTGTGGGAAACTGGGTGAGAAGTGGGCCTCCAGTTTGAGCCACTTAATACAGAGACTTAAGCATCGTTTAAGATTTCTGCCTCTCCTTCAACACAACATCCTCTGCAGGTGCTCCCAACCCTGCCCCGCTTCTCCAGTCCCTCTGCCGAGCCTAAGATCAGGTCTGGTCACTTGTTCCTGGAACGTCCAGCCTCCCTGCTCCCGTCCCCTGGGCTTCCTCCCTAGCCTCCTGAATCCGTCTGAGGACCCTCTCTCTCAACATACTATGTTACTCCCTTGCCCAAATTCTCAGTGAAAGCAGAAATTTTCATCTGTTTTGTTTATTGTATGTCTAGAGCCCAGAACAGGATAGGAGATGCTCGATCAATGGCTGTTGGTTGAATAAGGATATTTCTATCTATTAACATCAGATAAAGTCCATCCTCCTAAGCATGGCTTACAAGGTCCCCGATGTTCTAAACCATCTGCCCTGAACCCAACTCTCCATCCTCTCCACGTGCCACGTCTTGGCCCTAACACCCACCTCTGTTCTCTCTTTCCCTCCCTCCCCTTCCCCCACTTCCCTCATTCCCATCCACCTGGCTCAACCTTAGTCACCCTCAAGGCTGAGGTCATGGGCACTCTTTGGGAAGCCTTCTCAACATTCTCTTGTCTTCTGTGTGCGCCCCCTCTGCGTTCCCAGAGTTCCCCACAGAAACCTTACACACTTATCATATTGTGCTACCATTGCTGGCTGGCTCCACCAGACTGAGTTCCTTGGGACAAGCAACGTATTTGTATTTTTATCTCCTAAGCTTGGTATCCAGCCACCCACCCATCTGCCCATTTAGTCATTCAGCAAATAGTGATCAGGTACCTGCTCTGAGTCCCTGCCCTCACTGAGGTACACAGCAGATATTCAGTAATGCATCCTGGAGGAATGTAATGTTCCCTCTTATATATAAAACTTCGTGGCATGCCAGATACTGTTAAAAGTGCTTTCTACCTAATGACTTACTACAATTTAAGAACAACTCTATGAGGTAGGAAGTGGACTATCACCATTTCCCAGATTTGAAAAACCAAAGCACAGAGAGGTTAAGTACCTTGCCCACTGACACAGAGCCGGTAAGTGGAAGAGTCTGAATTTGAATCCAGAGCCAGCTTTTCCAACTCATGGCTCCATACTGCCTCTCAGACATGTCCTCACTGCTGTGATATTAGTTGAAAAGCCTGGGACAAGCTGATAAATCAGGTCTCTCATGCTGTGTGTCTCGGACTTTTTGGTGGAGGCCCAGGCCATCAGCTTTGCCACCAGTACCAGGAGGAAATCACACTCTTTTGCACCATAAGGAGGCAGGGGTGGTGCTGGGATCAAATCTGTCTCTTCCCATGTTGGTCCCCAGGCTTCTGGGAATGAGGACGACATCCTTCAAGTGTTTCTTGTTTCCTCAGAGGAGTGTGGAGTGCCCTGTCTAATCTTGACAGCAAGTATTGGGAAAAGACTCATGAGATAAGCGAGAAGCAAGAGTGAGGAAGCGGGCGGCGGCCCTGTGGCTGCGGGCCAGCTGCTGAGGCCTCTGGTCTCCATGCCAATTGTTTTCAGACTTCAGCACATTTCGCTGCCTTTCCTTAACCGTCTCTTCAGATTAAGGGCTCAAATGGGCTTCAAAGGACTTGTCAACCACTTGGAGAGAGCCTAAAGAATCACATCTTGCATCAAAACAGACAGGGAGTGGGCAGCACTGAGCACCCCAATATGCCCTGTGAAGCCCCAGGAGGCAGGCTGCCATGGCATCGTCAAGACAGAGCTGTAGGGCAGACCTGCTTCAGGCACCAAGGGGACAGCCATACACTTGCTCCTTCACCCTTCCCCAGCCTGCCCGTGGGGGTTCGGGACATGAGGAACCACGGGGAAGGCTCCAGAGACTCAGCGAGGTACCACCTCTGGCTCATTTGCATATTTATCCATCATAGAAAAACTCTCCATACCTCAACCTTGGCGTGGGGTTCTAGCAACCTGGGCAGGTAGTTGCTGTTTCCGTAGGTGAACAGAAAGGGATTCTCCTGCAGAGAAAGGTAATGCATTGTAACCACGATCCTGTATCCATTAATCACTAGGTTTTCTCATCTAGCGATGCCTTTGACCAATTTGAAACATTCATACCATCCTTTAAATGTTGAGAAAACCATTCTCTGGCTCTTCTTTCCTGTCCTGCCCCTTAGTTCCCTAAAGTAGCTCATTAATACTTTGAAATTTCCCACTTGCAATAGTCAGCATCTCTTGTTCTCTACAAAAGGTTCATGCCACCAGGCAAAGTAGATACATTTTCGCAAACAAGAGAACTAATTTTAAGTTTCCTGACAGCCAAGGCAAAGAGTAAAAAAGGATGAATTATACAGTTCTTATAGCCTGGTAACAGAAAATTTACCAGTTCATCCAGAAAGCCAAAAATCTGCCTAGCATTAAGTGATGAAAGGAATTCTACTCATTTACATTCAGTTATTTTCTCATTAATTTATTCAGTGACATTAATTCTATACCTATGATGCATTAGGCACATATTTAAGACACCTATTTTGGCATTTGGGGCCAGGTGAGTTGTGGGTTTGTTCCTATGCCTGCCGCAGGCATGGAAGGGGTCTCAGTTCTGTTAAAACAGCTCTCCTGGCCCACAGGTGTAAACTTCAGGTGTGCCAAGAATGCAAAGCTGTGTCCAGGCTCAGAAGAACAGATCCAAGACCCTAATGGGGCTAATGGCTCTGCCAGGCAAGACCCACTTCACAGCAAAGCCCATTTCCTTGTGACCTTGTCTCTCCCCACAACTCAGCAAGAGTTCTCCTCCCTTCTCCCAGTCCTTGCCTACCTGAGAGGGACATTTCACCGGCTTCCCCTCTTTTGCACTGAGTGGCTCATCTTTCTGTCCTGCCGGCTCCATCTAGAAAAGAAGGTGATCTTTAGATAGAAAAGTCTTACGTAGGTGGCAGCATCCTAGGGTACCACTGAGAAAGGCTCATTAGCCCAGTGTCTCTCAGAGTGTGACCTTGGGCAGGCAGCATCAGCATCACCCAGGAACACATTAGCAATGCAAATTTCTAGCCCCCATCCCAGACTTACTGAATCAAAAGCTCTGGGGTGGGGTCCTGCTCTCTGTGTTCTAACAAGCCCTCCAGGAATTCTGATGCACGTTCAAGTTGAGGACCATTGCAGGAGAGGAACCATTCTCAGCCCAGCCCTCTTGTTATAGGAGAAAGTGAACACCAGAGAGGTTGAGCTGACACAAGGACACTGGTGTCCAGATCCAACCAAATTGCTCTCAGTGGATCACTGGCTTCCAGACCATCCAGAGGCCAGCTATGCAGCCTGACTTCGCATCCCTGTCCTTGCCGTCCAGCTGCTGGCTGGCTCGCCGACTAAACTGCCCTCCAAGAGGAGAGTAGGAGTGGGAAGGAATGACAAATACATGGCTCTTGTGTAACCAGAAGGGAATGAAGGAAACCCTCTGTTACCCGGCGGGACCCAGGTCTTTAAGTGGGACACAGAGGTACAGTGACGTGAAGCACAGCACGGCCCCCACAAGTAGAATGCCTAGGAACTCCAGAATAAGCAACAGTGGTATCAGTGCTGATACAGGCAGCTGCTGAAATGATAACCAAAGCCTATCTAACAAGGTGGACAGGAAGCGTACGGTGGACCCGCAAGGGAAAGTGGCAGAGGATCAACTCAGGTGAAAGCATTGAAGGGAAGAAAGGAAAGTGAAGGTAGTTGAAGAACTCAACAGAGGAGGGGTTTAAGTTCCTTTTGTTATATTTTAAATGTTCACTATACGTAGGTAAGCACTTAAAAGAGAAATGCAGCTTGGAAGAGATCAGATTTCCTCTTGCATGCACTGTCTTCTACTGTTTGGGAACCTCATGTTTGCTGCCAGCCCTGCTGCCCCCAGGAGTCTGGCTCCTGGGGCACCTGGTCCCTCCCCTCCCCTCCTCTGCCCTCCCTTCCCAAGGATCTTGATGGGGACACAAGAAGCAGGAGGCTCTGAGATGAAGCCCCCCTGTCTGGTTCAATCACAGGCTCTGCCAGCCTCCACGAGCATTTTAGATTCTTCAGCAATATCTTATCCCAGCATCTGTGCCCGTGAGCAGCTCGGGGAAGGAACTTTACTCTGCTCGGGGCTGGCTCTTCATCCGAATGGACAGAGTCAGATAAGAGGGCATAATCAACCTTTTGGAAAAGGAGTGGCAACCTTTAGCTCAAGGGCTGGAGGAGGAGCTGCGCTCCCCATTTCCTTTCAGTTTTGTTCTGATGGTTAGACACAACTAAGTGTGGAATCCCAATCCAGAATGTTCAGGGCCGCTCTGCAGGGGAGTGTTTAGGGACCTGGGTAGGTGGCCTGGTGTCAATCTGGCCTGACTTCTCTTCACCAACCTTTCAAGAATTTAATCAATACTAGAATCTTGAAAGAAATGTTGAGACAGCCACATCGTGATAATTCTGGTCAAAAAGATATAGCAGAACCTAATTTCTTAAAGACCTCAAAGAAGGAAAATCCATAGGTTTTCCTAATAAACCCATTTGCATTAAGAACTTTGTCCTCAATGTCTCTTTAATAGTCACCTGCATCCTTCCTGCTGCCATTAATCCCCTTTACACCCACTCTGACCCTCCATCCCCAGGATGGAGAATGAGGCAGCTACATCAAACGTTCCCCACGTGTCCTTCCTTCTGCCACCCAACACTGCACACAAACGCACACTCCAGGGACACCGGCGCTGGTCCTGTGCCCTTGCCCCACTTTTCAGTGCTTTAATTGTTTACACCTCCTCCGCACAGCTTCCCTGCTCCGAGAAATGAACTGGAGTGTGGGAGGGGTGGGAAGGATGACCTTAGCCGTTCTCTGTGAGCATCCCCACTCGGCTGGGAGCAGTTCCCGAGTGTCCTCATCCTGCCTGTGGCTCCAGCTCTAGCACCGGGCTTGGCAGAAGGCGGGGGTCCGTGATCACTGGATCTGGCACTCGAGTTCCTCAAAGGTGGGTCTCATCAACACTACTGCTGTATAACAATTATCCGAAATTATCGAGGAGGTAGAAAGAGCCGGAAGAGCCTAGGGAATGGATTATGTCCCAAACACACAATCCTCCTCCGCTTGGTGCCAGGAGCTCAGCTTCTGTCTGGGCGGCTCACTCAGTGGGGACGGTGCCAGGTGTGTTTCAGAAGCGGGGTGCTCATGACGCACCCGTGCGGGGGTTTTCCTCCAAGCTTACGTACATCCCGGGGCTTGGCCAGGGGAACAGGCACAGGTGTGGCCCTGCACAGCCACCCCTCTGCGGTGCCCTGGGTGAGGTCCAGGAGAGAAGCGGCGGGACCTGGGTCCCTGGGGTCACAGCTCTGCTCCCCATGCGTAAGGGTGGCCCTCACTCGGGGCTCTTTGTCTGCAAACGTGGGTGTGAGGGGCAGAGCTGGCGTTACCTCTGAGTCTTGGCTAAACTCAACACATCAGAGATGCACAGAGGTGGAGGCAGGGAGACTCCGGGCTCCTCATGTCCCTGGGAGGACACAGGAAGGAACCTGAGGGGAAGCCACTCCTGTATGTTCTCAAGACCTTCTAAGGCCGGCAATCAGAGACCATGGGACCCAGGAAGACCACCGGACTCACCTCGAGAAACAACCCGAAGCACAGCTGGACCCAGAACCCAGGTTTTCTGGCTCCTCACTCAGGGCCTGTTCCTCTAACCTGCTATGTTCCTAATTTCTCATAAATTAACTCAGGCCTGCAGGGCTGTCCATGTGTTCTGGCAGCCACGGTAGCTCCAGGAGCCGTGGGATGTCTAGCATGTCACTCGAGAGGAATCCAGGGGACAGACACACCTCCCTTCTCGCTGGCTTGGCTGCAGGAACCCTGAGGCCTCTCACTGGGACAGGACTGCAGGTAGCCGCCGCCTAGGAAAGCCGCCTCCTCCTCAAAGCCCCCGGGACACCCACCGGGTCCCAGTCCTTTGGTCCTGAGTGTGAGACCTGTTCCCGTCTGGGCACCTGCCCAGACTCTTCCTCAAGCAGGTTCCAGGACCCTGTCGATGCTGTGCGCCTGAGTGCACAGGACACCACTCGGGCTCAGTAACGGGTTATCGTCACTGTCCCCACCACCGCTGGTGACGATCAACAGCAAGATGAGGCGGGAGGAGAGAGAGAGAGAGAGAGAGAACGAGAGCACGCGCCTTCTCCCAAGATCTGCTCTCCCACTTCTGTCTGTCTTCAGTTCAAGGTGCTTCACTCATTCTCAGTATCTCCTTATCCTGTGTCCTCTCTCATCAGACCTGCCTCCCACCACCACCTGCTAGTGCATTTTGTTCACTCTTTTCTCATTCTGTTCACACAGGTCCTCTGGCCTGGAAATGCCAGCCGTGACTTCCTCCGACATATCCCCACCCTCACCCCCAAAGCCAGTTCAAATTCCATCCTCATGAGGCTGTCCTGACCTCTTGCCCATGTCACATCTGAGTGCACAGTCCAGTGCATGACTGTGTTCCTCCGGGCTGCCTGACCCTTCCAGCTATGCCCTAAGCTCGGGAAAGGCAGACACCATTTGGTGTGTCTCTTGTAGCTTCCTTGGACTCAGCACAGGGCAGGCACCATGTAGGTGCCCTTTTGTTGCTTGGGAGAAAGGTGACAGAGGAGGAGAGAGGTTTGGCTGAGCTGGAATTACCAACCCACCCCCAGAGAGAGGGTGGAGGGAGGGCAGCCATGCAGGATGGACGGGCATGTTCCTTTCCTTGGCCCTTCACAGGGTATCAGCAGCGAAGTGGTTTTCTGGGGGAAAATCTCCCCCAAAGGTCAGGGTAACTAACAAGGGTCCTTTTCAAAGAAATCTAATGTCTTCTACAAAGGGTCATGTGGATCTATTGATTGGTATGGGCTGTTTCTGGGGCCGGTTGCTCCCCCTCTGCAGTCTTACTGGCAAGGCACTCTGAAATACAGCTGCTCATGGGACTCAGCGGAGCACATCAGTTGAGGAGAGGGAGAGAAATTTTTCTAATTCAAGGAAGAAGAAAACCAAATTTCTGTCACTGGGATTCTAAAAATAGGGCAGCTCGGATGGGAAAAAAATACATGGTGAAATCAGGTCTCTGTCTGGTGCCCTGGAGAGGTTCAAGCTTTTGACGTTAACATTCCACCCACTGACTCGTCCCAGATAGCCCTGGGGGACCTTCAGAGTCTGGGGAAAGCCTGTCACAGTCATAGTAAAAAGGGCTACCGGTGGTGAGTACTCGCCGTGGGCGGGCAGTGAGCTACACACTTGCCGTATGTTGGCTCAGGGGTTTCACAGAAAGGGAGCTGAGATCCTGAGTTCACGCAGTTTGTGAGAGCTTTGAACCCACTTCATCACTCTGAAGTCCACACTCCTCCCAGGCTCTTAAGTGTAGAGTGAGGGAAGGCTGGACCGGTCACTCTGTGAGCCTGATCCCTAGTGCCCTGCTCCACGTGAATCTCTGAGACAAACTCCGAGGAGGCGTCCCCGCCTCCAGGAAGAGCAGGACTGACGCTGCCCAGAGAGCCCTGCTCACTGTCAGGGCTGCAGCCCAGCCTCCAGGACGTGGAGGTGAAACTCCCAGGCTGTCCCAGCTGGGCTGTCACTGGGTGTGGGTAGGATGCCCCGCGGTCCAGGGTTATCACCCTCAGGCCCTGCGGGTGTCCGGTAGCATCCCCCTTCCGAGCAGTGGGCAGACCGGGCTCAGCGGAGGGGGCCCTGCTCCTCCTTCCATAGACCAAACCCCAGGCTGGCAGGACAGGCTCGCAGGACCCCGGCCACTCACCATGCTGTTCCAGAGAGTCAAGGCGAGTGTGGAGGGGTCCTGGAGTGGCTGCGGACCCTGAAAGAAAATCAGATAAGAACCCTTGTGTCCTCCCCCTCCACCGGGGTTGGGAGAGACCCACCGGGCACTTGGAAGCTCTCCCTGGCAGAGATGGAAAGGTCCTGATGGGTCCAGACTCTTTTTCTCAGCCCCTCCCAATCAATAATGGCGGGAATTTATAGGATTGCTGTCTGGGGTCAGGGCTCGGAGGGAAGGGCCTGAGGGGCAGGTCACACAGGCTGCTCCTCATCATCGTGGGGTTGCACACACTGAACAAGCAGAAGGAGCAGGTGACAGGGAAGTGATGGGGTGTAGTCTGAGTGGGAGGTGGGGGATGGGAACTAATAGTCCTCCTCCTTTTAAGCCACTGTTTAAACGTCACTGAAGCCCTGGAGGGACATGATGACTGCACCAGCAGGAGCCAGGACCCCGGACTGGGGACTGTCCCAGACGCACGGCACTGAGGCCCCAGAGGCGTCAGAGAGAGCTTGCTGAGCACATGTGGACCCCTGACAGCGCTTGTGGTCTGGGTGGCCCCACGGGGGTAAGGGGTGTTTGCCCAGTGACCTGCTCGAGGAAGCAACTCAAACTGCCCTCCCTCCCAGGGGTGGCTGTGGAGGAGCCTGTGGAGGGAGGATGTGGTGTGATGCCTGGAAATTCCATCCTGAATCATCACACCTGAGAGCTACTGAGGGTTTCCCAAGCACCAGACACTGCTCCAAGTTCCTCACATGTATTTACTCATCCTGACAACCCACCTTGGGGATGGAATATTAATAATGGTCCTGATTCCACAGAGGAGGATCCAAAGCACAGAGAGGTCAGACAACTTGCCCAAGGTCACACAGCCGGCCCAATCCAGAGCTGGGAGCTAGCTGTCTGGCTGGAGTCCACGCTCTTGACCTCTGGGTGGCTCTGCCTCTAGGAACCTACCTCATGGGGTTATCCAGTCCCACGGGGAAATTGTCAAGAAAGTATAAAAGAATTTTGCAGCACTGTCCCCTGAGAGTACACACCCTGGGCCCTGTCAAGCCCTGCTGGGCTGGGGCATCTGCCGAGGAGGGGTAGGGGAGGGCGAGGGCAAGGTCCTCACTCACTGAGGGTGGCGGCAGGGCTCTCTCATAGAAGAAAGGCTGGAAGACCACTGCGAAGGACTCCTGCTCATTGTACTTGCTGGAGGCCAGGAGACGTTCCCAGGTTTCCTGAAGGAAGGAGCACCAGCGAGGCTCAGCCTGCCCCTCCCCACCCAGGGAGCTCCCGGCAGCCCCTCCGTCAGGATCACCCGCCCGGCGCTGTTCTGAACCAAATGCTATTGGGAAGCTCCTCTTGTCTCACACTTCGGGGCCCTTTGATGAACTAAACTAGGTTTCCCTTTTCCTCTGAAGCCCCAGCATCAGGTAACACCAGGGATAGCTCTGAAATATATTCTCTGGGAACCCAAGAAGTATACACCAGGCCAGCATGTAGCTGAGGCCCCACGCAGTTTTCAAGGGTTGAGTTCTGTAGAGGGATGTGCTATTAACCAGTCAGAAAATGTCATCTCTGAAGTGAGAAAAGTGCCACACAGCTTCATATATAAAACTTTCTTCTTAAATAAAAATCATCATGTTAACACATGTCAGTGGGAACTGTGCTTTGAGCTGTTTGCTGGTAGGGACAAAGGCTCCCATTGACCCATCCACACTGTCTTGGGGTCTCTCTTGTAAACTAGAAGCACATCTTCAGGAGACCCTGACTGTAGTCTGGGGTCTGAGCCCAGCCTGGGCATACAAGCTCACTAGCCACATATGCGTGGTCCAAGCAGGGATGACGATCAAAAGCATTTTAGAAGGATCTGCAAAGCTCTTCACCATCTTTCACCTTAGGTACCACCACCGCCCCCAACCCGTGTCCACTCTCACCCTCATCAGTATTGTAGTAGTCCCCACTTTACGTATGGGGAAACCACATCACCACCTGGAAGTGACCCAAGAGCAGCTGTCTTTGGTTCCTGACTCGCAGTCCTGAATTCAGCTGGAGAGGTCCTATATCAAACTCGCTCCCTGATTGTTCCTACCACCCCTGTTCTCATGACCACCCACCCACCGAGGGCCAACAGCCCATGTCCCAGAGTGAGCTCACCTGATAGGACCACTGGGCCACAGCCTTGGACAGCCGCGAAGTCTCCTCTGAGCACCTGCAGGTCTCTGCCGTGGGGCTGCAGGGTAAAATAAGCCGGAAGTGAGAGCGTGGACGCAGCGCCGGGGCCATTCAGGCTGCCCCTTGGGGACAGGAGGGTGCTGCTGGGAATGGGATTGCTTAGGGAGGCGGGGGAGGAGAATCTGGGAGACTTAGAGGGTCGGGGAGAAGGAAGGAAGGAAGGAAGCACATGTTGGGGAGAATAAAGGGCATGTTATGAAGACACTCTCTCACTCCATCTCCCGATACACTGCCTCCCTCACCAGCCACACGTGGGGAACCCACCTCCAGTTCTCCTCGCAACTCTGAGCACCTTAGCCTTCCTCCCTCTTCAAACCCCCCTTTCCTTCAGCACCGTCCTCTCCTTTCCATTGGCATCACCTCCAGCTGTCCCTGCCCTCACTTTATCCATGTGAACTTCTTTTCCAGGTATAAAGCCAGAACTCTCAGGATTTGGGATCAAAAAGTTTAACTTCTATGAAAAATCTCAGAAATATATGGGAACCAAGTTTCATGAAAATAAAACACAGTTAGGCTAAATTTTCTCTCCAGTTTCCAGAAGTAACACTTCTTGGCTTACAGAGGTTTTGCCCGAGCTGTTTTTCAAACTCTCCAATCATTCTGGTGGGGGTAGGGCATCTGACGCTGCATCAGCTGGACTGGATACTTCAGTCCCCCAAAGGGTACGTGGCAGAGAGCCCCTCCCACAGCCTGACTCTGCCTCACTGGCCATGGGATCTCACACAAGTGGCTTCATCTCTCTTGGGCTCCATCCCTTGGGTCAGTTAATGCACGTGAAGTGCCCCATACAGTGCCTGGCACGTGGCACCAGTCAACAAATGCTGGTCCCCTTCCACTTCCCTTTTTACCTGAGTGTAGTCCCCTGATGCCAGTCAGAGCGCCCTAGAGCTTCAGAGAGATCCACCAGGTTCACAAATGCTTTAGGGACCTAGGGGGACACGAGGGACAAGGTGAGCATTTGCAAAGTCACTATTGCTGCCCAGCAGCCTCTCTGGAGCCCCTGGCTTGAGCCCAGTTTGGGGTGTGGCTGAGCACAACTGGCTTCTCCTTGGCTCAACAGGCAGGCCCTTTGGGAGATGGTTGGTCGGGGTCAGTTCAAAGCTGCCAGCCCTGCTGGCTGTGCCATTCCAGAAAAGTGTCATTCACCGCCCTTCATGGGGGGCAGGCACCTCCCCCCACAGCATGGTGGGGAAGGTGAGAGCCCAGAGCCCTCCTGGGACGCTCTGAACCTGCAGTGCTCATCCTGGTCCCTCCAGGGAAGCCCTGAGGCTCTCAAGACCCCTCCAGGCCGTCCCTGCCCCAGACTCAGACAGACAAGAGCCCTCAGGAAAGAGCGGGTCACCGAGACCCCAGAAAGGAACTGGGCTGTGCTCCTTCCTCCTCCCCAGGCGTCCCTCTCAGGAATAGCCTTTGCAAGAGTGAGGAGCTCGAGACCTGACCCGTGTTTTCATTAAAAGGGTGAGAAGACTGGCTCCTCCAGAGCCTTCCCTCTCCCTAGGGTCTTGGTCTCCCCACGGGAGTCTATTTCCCGTCCCAGGGGAGGCCATTTGAAAGAAACTGGAACCTGCCCCAGCCGCCTGCAGAAGGGCTTCTCCTCTGGGCTGCTGCAGGTGCTTGCTCCCCCCAGGTGCATGGCCCTGCGCAGTCGGGGAGCCGCCAGCCTCACCTCCTGGTGCAGGTAGTCCAGCGTTCTCGTCAGCCTGCTCATGCCACTCGCCACATGGCTTTGCTGCAGGAGAAAATGTGCTGAGCGTGAGTGGGGATGGGGGACCTGGGACCAAGGATGCTCAGGCTCACGGGGGCCTGTTCCTTCCCCTCCCCAACCCCCCACTCCCCTCCACTGAGATGACAGTGACAAAGGCCCTGTCTAGACCCCAGTTCCCCATAAACAAGTGTTGAGTTCCCAGGGCTTCCTAGGTTTCTGGTTTATTCTCTGACTTCCCCAACCCATCAGCCACCAGGAAGAAGCAAACTCCCTCAAATGAGACGTTCCACGTCAGGGAAGGGCAAACCCAAGGTCACGGCGATTCTAAAGCTCACACGAGGGATAGCAGGCTGGACTCACTCCCAAAGCCTGATGGAATCACTTTGATCTGAAGAAAATCAGGTCCAAGGGGAACACAATTATACTTGGATTTAAGGACCCAGACAGACCTCCAGGCTTCTATGTGGCATCTTATCAGACCTCTCCCTGCCACATCTACACTATGAAAAGGGCTCCTGTCACCAAGTATTTAAAGATACCTCTTACCCACCCAACTCCTTGCAGGTAATGAAAATAAACAAACGAGAGCACCCCAAAAAATGACCCTGGCTTACCTTTCAGTGTAAAAAATATATATATATATACATATATATCCAAACAAAAATAGACTTTGCATCAAGACAAACTTCTAAGCTGCCTGGAAACTGGCTGTCCCCTGAGGCAACTGGGCTCAGACTAGAAGACAAAGCAGGCCCAGCAGCCGTTCTGGTTCCTGGGGGGACACAGGCGGCAACTCTGGAGACAGCTGCCAATCACGCAGCCGGGACTGCACGGAGGGCCCCACTCCTGTGTCCCTGCTTTGGGGTGAGGCTGTCGTCTGGAAGCCAGTCCAGCCCACTCTGCTGCTGTAGCCAGCAATGAAGCCTTCTGTCTCGTTTTCGCTCTCCCTGAGCGTGACATTCAACATGGCACTTCCCCTTCTAAAGAGTCTTGGGAACTCTGTCTAGAAAGGTCCTCGCTGTCCACCTGCACCATAGTCAGGGCATCCCTCTTCCCTAGGGAATCCCGGCATGGTTTTCCTTGGACTGCAAATCTTGCTTCAGACTGCAAGGTGCTGATTCACTGCTGCAGAATGAATCAGGGCGCACCCAGGTTCTCCAGGCACTGCATGGTTGTCCCCAGGGTGCCAACTGTCCCTGTTCCTTAGTGGAAAACATGCTCCTATAAAATGTCCCTTGTCTGTAAAGTCACACATAATAAACTCCTCTATAACTCAAAGTCAGGAAAAAGCTTATTTCTCCAAATGAACTTGTACATTCCCATTTACATCCTTTGCTCCCAGAATCAGAAGAATTCTCTATTATCGAACATGGGCCTGCAACCAGACTTCACTTTCTCTAACAAATTATTTCCCCGGGATTTATTCCAAGAAGTAGGATTATTCAGTCAAAAGACACAAACACTTTTAAGTTTTCTTGAGTCAGACTGCCAGTGCGCCCTCCAAATACTGACACCTGTTTCTAAAGGCAACTGCAATAAATAAATGGGCATATTTTTGAAATGGAGGGTACTGCAGTCATCAGTTAGATCCATTAAATGATAACCTGCTTAATAAATAAGGAACTGTAGCCTGCCTTCACTGATAAAGCTCGCTTTGTTTTCACAAAACTTGCATGTCCTTCAAGCATTACGTAGCCTAAACAGTAAGAAGTTCGCCCAAGTTGTTTTTTGGGAACTTGGAGTCAGCCGTTCACTGACTTGAGCTCCAACTGGACAAGACTGGTGGAAGCGTCCAACGGGGCATGTGTGAGTGTCCCATCGGTGACCTTTGATGTCAGAGGGCCCAAAACTCCACCCTCAGAACATGCTAACGCCAGCATTTTCTGAACATGCATCCCATGAAAAAGCATGTCTCACCTTTGCGTGATCTCCCGTCAGCCTTCCCCACACTGCCCACGCCTTGGACCACCCTGCTTCTTTATCCCATAAATATCCTGAGGGGGATTTTAGATTTGTTATCCTGTCTCCTAGTGAACAAATCCTTTCTCCCTGCAAACCTGTGTCTCAGCATTTGACTTGCAGTGCTTGGAACAAACAAACCTGATTCAGTAAAAAATTCTTGCAGTGTCAGGCTTTATTTTCCTTTTTTTCCCCCTCTTCTTCTGATTTTTGTTCGTACTAGCTCAATAAAACTAGACTTTAACTGGAGAGCAGTAAACAAGGGTCCAGACCCTGAAAGCATCCCCGTGTCACTGCTATGAGCCAGGTTACCAGTTACCTGTGAAGCACCTGCCTTTGAACAGCTGACCCCCCCCCCATAGCAGCCTTGAAGAAGCATCGTGGCTGCCGAACAAATGGCTCCTGCCCTTACTCTCTTATGACTTTGGTCTTAAGAAACCCCTAAAGAACAAATGTGGAACAAATGTGGACCCAGGCCATTGTCTACTCCCTGTGAAAAGAGCCCAAAGGCCAGTTAGGGCAGGAACATTCCAGGTCCTAAGTAGGGCAGGACAGGAGTTTAACTTTTCTTCTTAACAGTAAAATGCCTTTTTCTCATATGAACTATGTCAGGAAACTTGACATACATATGCCACACGTAAGGGTAGAGCTGCTCTGTGAAGTCGATGGGAGCCTGGAGCCCACAGTCCCAGCCTTGCCTTTGCCCTCAGAGCCCCTCCTGTGGCCCCTGAGGGAGAGGCTGTGCCTGGGATGTGCTTCCCGAATGCAAAAGTGCTGTGCAGAGCTTCTCAGATGGGGGTTCTGGGTTAGCTGCAGCCAGAAGCATCACCAGAAAGACTAGGGAGCGAGTGGTGGGTCTAAGCAGCAGAAGCAAGACTGGGGCAGTGAAGGGAGGAGCCGGCCAGCCCAGGCCAACGTTGCTGAGGGCCAGACCTATGAGCCCCAAGGTCCTCTGGGGGAAATGGAAGTGGAGGTGGGATTTATTCTAGGCTCCAGATCTTGGTGGTCTTTGTGCAAAAGGCAAATTGAGATGGAAGAAAAATGTGATAAAGAGGGAATTTGAGTGGATGCTAGTGAATATTGTTACAGAGCTAAATTTACAGAGATCAAGTCACTGGTATATATAGCCATTTAGAAGTCAGGGGCAAAGCATGATTACTTTTGTCATATGTTTACAGCCAATTAAAAGTGCGAGGTTCTAAGTGTGAATGAACTTAATCCACATGTATCAACAAGACTAGATCTTGAGGGAACTTAACATGTTGACCAAAATCACTAGGTTGGAGAAGAACAAGTAGTGGGAAGATCAGAGGGAACGGGTGCTGTCCGACACTGGTAAGAATGGGTGAAACTGCGATTTATAATATGAAATATTTATTTGGTCCTTGTTCCATTTTATGGCACAGAGCTCATAAATGATAGGCATTTCCTAAGTGAGGAGAGCATAAAGTTGTATTTTGTTATGTTAATGAGATGACTTTTGGACCACACCTAAGGATGGGGGCTGATTGCCAGGGGAACCAACTGTGTGATTAGAGAATTGCAGTCCCCTCCCCTCAATCTCTGGGGAAGGAAGAGAGGCTGGAAATCGAATCAACCATTTAGTCAGTCATGACTATGTGATGAAACTTCATAAAATCCCAAAGGGATAGGTTCCGAGAGCTTCCCAGTTGGTGAACACACGAGGCGCTGGCAGAATGGCACACCTGGAGAGGGCATGGAAGCTCCTCTCCCTTTCCCCACACCTAACCCTATGCATCTCTTCCATCTGGCTGTTCCTGAATTATATCCTTTTCTAATAAACCAATAACCTAGTATGTAAAATGTTTCTCTGAGTTCAGTGAGCCACTCCAGAAAATTAATTGAACCCAAGTTGGGGCTTATTGGAACCTCCAATCTATAGCCAGTTGGTCAGAACCTCAGGTGACAACCTGGACTTGGGATTGACATCTGAAACGGGGGGAGTCTTGTAGGATTGAGCCCTTAGCCTGTGGGATCTGGTGCTATCTCTGGGTAGATAGTGTCAGAATTGAGTTGAATTGTAGCACATTCAACTAGTGTCTGAGAATTGCTTGGTGGTGTGGAAAAAGCCCTTCTCTGTTGGGACTGTCCCAGGATATTAAAATATAAATGGGTTCGGCTACCTTGGAGGGCAATTAGGCAGTCCTTTAAGGCTTAAAGTATATGTATCTGATGACCAGCAATTCTATGTTTAAGAATCTACTCAAGGCAATTTTCTTCAAACAAAGTAGTTTGATCAAAATAGATCATGATCCACAATGTGAGACATGTTTCACATCACAACCCAGTATACACACATCTATATATAAATGGAGCAAAAATAATCATGAACCAAAACTTACCTTCCTACATGCAACAAATTCTAACATTTTATACTTGACTCTATTTAATTTCTGTTTTTTATAATTTTTGGCTGCAATCCTTTAAACTGATTTTTGACCCACTAATATACTTCAATATATAATCTGAAATATAATAAATTACACTGTAATTGAATACAATGAAATACAATCATTGTGTTTAGAAAAACACATGTTCAAATGAACAAGATTGTTCCTAATAGTGAAAAACTAGAAACACCTAAATGGCTATCAACGTGGAAACAGCTAAATAAAATGTAGTAAATGTACACAAGGGAATGCTATTTGGTAAGCAACAGGAATGCACTCAGACCATATATATCAACATGACTAGACCTCAAAAATACTTGGTTAGTGAAAAAAAAAATTGCTCCATAGTATATATAATACTACTTATGTTCAATCTCTCTCTCTTTACACACACACAGTAATACTAAGATTTATATATTTGTAAAAATCTGAGAAATAAAAAGAGGAAGAGGATTGCTGGCTGAAGGGTAGTTTAACTTTAACTGTAATGTTTTGTTTTTTAAGAGGAGGAAGCATCTGTGCATTGCTTGTGCTACTAAAAATTAATAAAAGTAAATAATGCACAAATGGACACATGCACAAAGGAATGCATATAATGTATTGGAGGAATAAATACATGAAAGAATGCAAGAATTCATGTAGGAATGCTTGTATGTAAAATAACATATATGGAAGAAATTATGAATAAGGGTAAATATCAATGAATGGATTCAAATACTAAAAGGTCAGACAAATGCTAGTATGAACAAACTAATCATAAATACAATGGCATGTGCCTGCATGTAAGAAGAGAGAATTTATGCATGAATAGACAGCTGATGGATGGATGGATGGATGGAAGGATGGATGGATGGATGGATATATAAAGGAATGCAACAATGCCTAAATGCTTGTTTGAGCACTTCAATTCATGAATCTATGGATTTGTGAGTAAATGTTCATCTGCATAATGACCAAACTGGGGATGGGAAGGCAGAGAAGTAAACAGGGCATATAAACTTCACTTGGCATGGGAGAAAACAGAGGCGAAGTAAACGAGCTTCAAGATCTATATGCCATAAACCCAGGAGGTCTGCAGGGATACCATCTAACAAGAGCTGGGCAGGGAAGGTGGGCTTCCACCAGCATTCTCCCAACGTCACTAAGGGAAGGAGGGGTTTGGTGGTGGGCCAGGAGCATGGGGCATTTGGAGGAAGGCAAGAGTATGTGTCTGGGAAAGGGGCACAGAAAAGAAAATGACAGCACCTCAAGAAACCTCACCCTTGTGTGTGCCAGGGCCTGATGGAGGCCCCAGAATGCGGCTGAAAGGACAAGGGGCAGGTAATTGAACTGCCGTGAGTGGCAGGGCCAGCTTGGTGGCAATCAGGCTTCAGGCTCCTGAGTAGTCATCTGTGTGCCATTTATTTCACCATAGCCTAGGAATCTAAGCACCCTCTCACTTTCAACTGATCCTAACCTAAACACTCTTCAATAAAGACTTAAGTCATAGGCAGTCACCTACATAAATATCAAATAAAGTCACTTGTTTCCTGGGAACTCCAAAGAGCCTGGAAGATACAATCTTCCGACACAAAAACCAGACAACTTCCCATTAAAACTAGAGCTCGTGGTGAACTAGAGTTCAAGAGGTGATGTCAAAAGCACGCATCCTGCTTTATTTCCTAAATTCAGTGTTTAAATGAAATCAGATTTAAAAGAGGCAAAATGATTTTTTTTTAACTAGGAAGTGGATTTCCCTGAGCTGCAGAATGACCACTGACTCAGCTTATATCTGCCTCAGCTTCCTTTTCATGATGTGAAGGATGGGAAGTTAAAAATACCTGGCCCTCAGTATGGTTCTTTGAGCCCTCAGATATCTGTCTGCCTGCCTGTCTATTTACCTACCTGCCTGCCTGCCTGCCCTAACTCTGAAATAGGTGCCTCGGGCCCAGCCTGCCAGGTGGAGATAAGGCAGGTTTAGCTTGTTACCTCTGCACTCAGCCCAACACCGGCAGTCCCTCTGCCTCCCAGCCTGTGGTTTACCTGCTGGGTGGAGGGACACAGGTGACACTGGCTCGTGTTGCCAAAGAACACATTGATGAGCTTCCAATCATTCTGAAAGTCGAGTTGCTGCAGAAAAGGACAACACCAAAAAGAGATGGTGGTGAGACCTGGGGCCGAGAGAGCAGCTTTCTTTTCATGTCTTTCAATTTCACACACCCACCCCCATAAAACCACATGTATGGATTTTTTTTTTTTCGAAAGGAGACGTAAGTGGTGGGAAGTTAAAGCTGTAAAGCATGGGAAGGCAATTTGGCAAAAGATATCAGAAACTTTTTTTTAAAGGCCTTACCATTTGATTCAACAATTCAATTTCCCAAAACATATTTTAAGGAAGCAAGGATGAGTGAAAGACTTAGCTACAATGATGAAGTCTTGTTCATAAGAAAAAGTGTAGATGTGTAAAATAGAGGATTGCTGTGGAAACTGGGGAACACCTGTAAGCTGAAACACCGTGTAGCTTGTTAAAACAACGCTGAAAAACATAGCTATTGTCAGGAGAAATAACGAGAAAAGCATACTGTAAAAAGCATCTACATCTAATAACATCTCTACTTTATAAAATATATACAGATATATGTGCTTGCAAAAAAATATGGAAGGGAATACACATCAAATTGTCAACAGTAATTATCTCTGGTCCTCAGGTTTAAGGATGGTTTTGAATGGTTTTAATGTTCTTTTGTTTATCTGTGTTTTCTGATCTTCCTCTGATGAACATGTGTTACTTATGGAACAAAAAATAAACTTTTTTTTAAAGAGGCAGCATTGGATGTGAATCAGGCAATTTTGATTTTGGTTTCCACATCTGCGAAATATTGGATTCAAGATCACCCAGCTATTTTCCAGAATAAGATCATTCCAAAAATTCAGAAATTCTCTTGTTGGAGGAAAACAACTCTTTACAGCATAGCTCCTGCGTTTGTCCCTGTCCTTGTGCAAGCTGCAGTGACCTGGCTCAAATGCCTGAACTCTTTCATGAGTGCATGGCTGGCCAAGACAGGGGTTTCCCTCAGCTCCAGTGAGCCAGGCTCACTCCCTGGTTAGAGCCAGCTTGGTAGCAAAGCTTGCCTTGAATTCAGGAGGCTTATAACAGCCCATATGAGAGTTACTGAGTAAAGAGTGTCTGAACTGCCAAGAGAGCGGGGATGGGGGCCCCGGCATGTGTGTTACCGAAGCCTCCACCCGAGAACTGCAAGGGGAATGATAACGAGTAACAACAACAGTTGCCACTTGGATGACACTGACAGCAGCTTGCACTGAGCCCTGCCTCTGTGCCAGGCACCTCAACACCTCCTTTAATCCACCCTAAGCCCTGAACTGCAGGCCCTTTTATAACCCTCACTTCATAAATGGGAAAACTGAGACTTCGAGAGGTTAAGTGCCTTACTCAACATCGCACAGCTAACAGGAGGAAATTCAGGATTCGCACTCACACAGGTCTCTGCCTGGAACTCAAGCTCTCAGCCACCTCCCTGAGCTGTGAGTCCTTTAGTCCATGTGCTGACTTTTGGCAGGACCAGACTGGGAACATAAGGAGTGGCCCTGTGTGTTTACAGCCTCCAGAGAGTCACCATGGGAAGGGCGTTCATGGAGGGCCCGGCCACACTGGTTGCCAAGCTCAGGGCAGGATGGCCCCAGGGCTGCGGCAGCCCGGTGTGTTTGGGCTGATTGCCTCGCCGCAGACAGGGACTGTCCCAACCAGAGCTTGATGGATTCTTACCTGGTTCTCTTTCATGCTCCTCACCAGTTCTTCTGCCTGAATCCACAGGTCTCTGCACAGAGGGAAGGAAGCAGAGAGAAAAATCAGTTAAATACCACTTTGTTGAGAGATGGAAGCCTGCCCCTTGCCCCAGCCCAGGTGCCAGTCTCTGAGTGAGAGGCTACGCTGCACCACTCCTGGGCTCTAGAAGGCAGACCTTGACTTAATTTTTCAAGGTAGGCCCATCAAGCAGACTAAAATCTGTGCAAGAGATACATTTTGACTTTGACTTAACAGAGATCTTAATTTTTAAGCCTCTTTCCAGCTCCCCATCCCCAATCCTCCCATCTAGATGCCCAAGACTAACAGGCTCATACACCCTGGAAGAGAGCCAGAAAAGGGGCTTACTCAGCACCACTGTAGGGCATGACCGCCTTCACAGGGGCACACACGGGCTGCAGGACAGATGGATTGAAGTGCCTGATGACATCTGAAAGGGCTAAAGAGAGAGCTGGTTTGAGCCTGTGGTCTTGACGGCCAGAGGTCACCTGTGGAGACTGACCCCCTCTGGGGTGAGATGCCAGGGTCGCTGCCCCTGTCCCCAAGCAGGACCTGTCTTGGGCTGGGAGCTCAGCCTCATAGCAGGTCCCTGAACGTGAGTGGAGCTGCAAAAACTTAACATCCCTCAAGTGCGAGGCTGGGCCAGGAGCTAAGCATCATAGGTGTGTGTATGAAGGGGAAACTGAGGCTGGGGGGTTAAGCCAGCTCCCCCAGGTCTCGTGGCTGAAGTGGCTGGGATTTGAACCTGAGCTCAGGGATGTCAAAGCTTTTCACTGTCGTGCGCTACCAACTAGTTAGGAAGACTGTGCTGGGATGGGACCAGGCAGGCCCCCTCCTCCTCCTGAGTGACAGCAGGGCGGGAAGGCTCCGGGGAACACACAGAGAACATGTCCCAGAGCTGACAGCCAGGGGACCACTAAAAATAGCGCTGTCAGGAGCAGTTAGGTTGTGTCTTGCTCCTGAGAGAGGGGAGTGCAGAGGGGAGAGTGTCATGGTGGGGAGGTGGTGCTGCCTCACCCCAGCCCCCCCATTTTTTGCCTCCATCCACAAGAGCCTGGGGCTTTGGGGGGAATGGAATCCAGAAGGCAGCTTTAAAAGGGCTGCCTTTGAAAGGAGCTGCCACTGTGCAGGCAGCAGAAGGGGGAGGGGAACCGGGCTGGAAGTCAGGGCCCCTTTATCCTCAAACCAGACTAATGAGCCTCCTTTTCTGAGCTCTGACCAGCTTGGGATAGGAGCCCATCCCCACACATGGGGGAAAACTGAAAGCTCTGAGGCCAGATGGAGAGGCCAGGGAGCTTGCATGCGTGCGTGTCTGTGTGAGAGGGTGAGCGGCTGGGGTGAACACTCCCCCATGTGTCAGGAGGGTCTGTGATAATGAACAACAAAATGGGAACACCTGGTGTCACATCTTTGAAAGAGAACTGCTTTCCAAATTAAAGGCACCCGTAATGCATTGCTTCCTTGGGATCAAACATGACCTTGGACTTTCTCACATAAATCTGCCTGCCATTTTGTCTTAGGTCTCCTGTGTACCCACTCTGTCCTCGCTCGCTCCCTCTCTGGGTTTCCAGTGGGGTCAGAACATAGGGCACAGGCTGTGGGGCTGGAGCACCTGGGCTCCTGGGCACTTTGCCACATACTGACCATGTAACCTTAGGAAAGTCTGTTTAACCTCCTTGAGACTCAGTTTTCCCATCTGCAAAATGGCCGTGGTGAGCGAGGGCATGGTTAGATATGAAGGGCTCTGAGGTTCTGGGGTTGCATGACGGCTGGGCTGAGCTCGGGCCTGGATGCCCCTGGGGCACTTTCTCCTTGGAAGGCCAAGTTCTCCTCTGCTGGCTTGGCCACCTAGCAGCGCTCCCAGGCCCGGCACTCTGCTTCCCCCGACCCCACCTCAGGTAGGCTGGACTCCCTGAAAGCTACAGCTCAGCCCTACCTCTGAGAGCACTTAGGTGCATGGTCTGCCTTCACTGCCCAGCCTTCTGCTGCACCTCTGGCCAGGTGAGACCCCTGGTTACTCTCTGCTTAATGAGGGGCAATCAGGTCTTGCAATCAGGTGGGTCAAAGGGTAAAGTAATTGGGACAAACTGAGAAACCAGGTAAAGCAACAGCTGTGCTTGTGGTTTCAGGGCCATCTTCCTAGACACCCCCAAATACACCACTTCATTTCTTTTTTTCCTACCATTTAAAGGTAGACAGGGCCAAACCTAGCCTGAGCTGGGACAGTCACCAAGTCATAAGGGTGTCCTTTTTCAGAACCCTTTGCCAGGGGACCCTCCCATCACTTGGGCCATCAATATCCCCCTTCAATCAGATCCTGGAGGCCAGAACACCAGGTCTCAACCTCCCCTGCTGGATGGCAAGGGCTGAAGGCAGGACCAGTATCTGGTTTATCCCTGGCCTTGCGGGGAACCTCCTGATTCCCAGGCCCTTGGTGAAATTCACTGGCTGAGTTGACAGGGCACCGCCTGCCTCACTTGTCCTTATGCTCCGCTCATGTGTCAGCCCAGCAGAGCATCTCTCTGCACTGTGGCCTGAGTCTGCTCAATCTAATTAAGGAGTGAAAGGTGGCTTTCTCGCCCTTGGCTTGTGAGCACTAAGCACAGGTGACATTACCCACCAAGCAAATTCAGCTGGCATTAAGGGACTCGGGTTTCAGGATGACTTAATAGAGTCGTAAGGGACCTCTGACTAAGTGAAAAAAACCAGGTGACAGATAACATTTTGGCCTTTTTATGTATGAAGGAGCTAAGGAATGTGCTAACAATGCTTGTCTCTAATTGGGATTACAGTTGATTTTCTTTCTTTTCATTTCATTTTCCTGAACTGAATTGATATATTTATTTTGTAAGTAAGGGAGTTACTATGAAGTGAAATAAACTGAACATGAGAGCTGGGTCTTCTCCTTGGTGGGGGGCAGGGTGGGGACAGTGAATGATGGACAGTTTCCCAGAGGTAAGTCCACCCCTGGGGTCCTGGGGAAGAAAGGGCCTCAGGACTCCGGGCCAGCCACCCCCTGACCTCTCTCCCCTGTCCCCCAACCTTAACCCAGTGCCTCCTGGATTTTCTTCGCTCAGAGACCCTCCGACACATTTCACCGTTCAGGGTATGTGCCTTCTCATACCCTGGCTCCCTACCTGTCCTCTTAGAATGCCTCTCCCTTCCTCCTTGGGCTCTGCAATGAGGGGGCCCAGAGGGTACATCTTCTACATTAACCAAAATGCTGCTGTCAGGAGGGACAGGGACGATCTGGATTCTGGCCATGAAAACACAGAACTCACCAGTCACCACGCCCATGCATGCCTGCAGTGGCCTGTCTTCAGTCCTGCAAGCAGAAGCCAACACACGACCGTCAGATTGCATTTGTCGCCTACCAACCCTTGCCCTTGCTTGCTGTGGTCTGTTTCAGAACAAGTTTTGGCCCAGTGCTGCTCTGGTTCCGTATTTATCCTTCCCGGAGACAGACCTCAGATGGCAATGGAGTCACCAAAGTGGGGTGAGGCAGCCCCATCTGGACCCTCTCCCCACCTCTCTAGTTTGGTCCACAGTTGGAAGGGGATGCAGACCCCGGTGTAGGAGGAGCCCGATCCTGGTCCAGCCCTGCTTGCTTCCCCCACAGCAGAGCAAGGAGAATGGCGGAAGGAAGCAGGGATCCCACATTCAGCCTTTTCCCACTTTCCTCCCTTATTCACCCAGAAGGGCCCAGGGGTTTGGCAGGAATGGGGAGGGTTGGATGTGGAGGCAGGAGACTGCATCCTGGTCCTCCCTCACCACCTGCTCGTAAGGGGGCCTGGAGCAGGCATCTCCTCTCTGGCCCTCAGGTTTCCCTGTCAGTGAAGCAGGGCGGTGAAGCAGATAACTCTGAGGCTCTGCTCAACTCTGCTGCTCTGGTTCTGGGACAATTACCATTCTTGCTTCTCCAGGTCGCCTGTCCCTGAGTCTGGAGGCTGGAAAAGACACAAGGTGTGAACCGCCCCACCAGGGAAGGCAGCCAGCCTGTCCTTGTGAGACCCCAGGTGCCTATCAGACACCCCCCTCCACCAAAAAGAGGGAACCCATGGATCCTGAAAAAGTCCAAACCTGCCTTTGTTTGTTTCTGGGGGAGGGAAGTAGGAACATCAGGGTTTCTCCAAAGCATGTTGCCTGAACTCAGAGCAATGGAAGGTTTAAATATTTTCTTCTGAATAGAAAACCGGATGGGAGAGCTTAGATTTAAATATACCTATGTGGAATATTAACATCCTACATAGAAACGAAAGAGATTATTTTATTATGACCTTCCATAGTCTGAAATTTATTTGTGTATCGTCTGTCTCCCCTGCCTAGAGTGTAAGCACCACGAGGGCAGGGATTTGCGCCTGTTCTGTCCTTGACTATGTTCCCTGGACCTAGAACAGTACCTGACACACCATAAGTGCTCAGTAAATACCTGCTCGGTAACTATTTTTTGAATGAACAAAATAAGTCTCTGATCATCATCTTGGTAAATGCTGGCTAACACCCAACACTCCCTGCTGGAGAGGTTCCCTGGTCGTAGGGCTGAGGTGACCGTGGGAACCGAGTCCTCTGGGAGGTCCTAGGGACACTTGGAATTGTGCCCAGGACACAGGCAGCGCTGAGCCTGCACCAGCTGTTGTCAGTTGTGCTTTCACAGGTTCAGACACAAATTCTCTCTCTCAAGATTCTCACAGAACAGTGTCTCCAGGTGTGATGGTGACAGGTGACGCTGTACCCACACTGCCACACCTGGCCTGCCTGTCCTTAACGACCCTTCTCCTGTGACAGCCGGTCAGCCTGTCAAGCTGGGCCACGCCTCTGGAGCCCCCTTGGGAGGACAGGCTAACCATTACCTTCCTCTAACTGGGATGGAGTCCTCCAATAAGAGGAGCTTGAAAGGCAAAGTTTCTAGGGAAAGGTAACATGTTTTGATTTTTTTCTTATATGGAACAGGTATCCCAAGTGTTAATCTGAAAAGAATTTTAACAAACATTTACGAATCTGATCTTTAAAGTTTATGAGGAAAAGGAAGCCCAGAGCAATTAAATAAGTGTCAGCCACAGTCGCAAGCAAGCGATTGTGCCTTGGCTACAGAAAGCTCCAGGAACTCAAAGCAAAAGCATCCACCTTTCGGACCTCTGTCTTTTTAATTGCACTGTCTTCCATTATGTTTTCCCTGGCCTGATGCCTTTTATAAATTAAAATCAGGCTAAGTTCATGGTACCTGACGCTCAGGGCAGACAGAGGAAGGCAGCCTCCTAAGAATCGTGTTTTCAGGATTTATCCTGAAGGCTGAGGTGCCCGTCAGTGTAATGACAATCATTCTGGGGCTGGGAGACCATCCTGGACTGAAACCATCTTCCCGCGCCCGGGGCCTCGGGCTCACACGTGGAGAAAGGGTGAGGTGAGTGACAGCAGGAGCAGTGGGGTCTGAATAATTCATGTGTGAAGAACTCCTTCAGAGCTGGGACCAAAAGTCATTGACTGGTTTAACTTTAGAAACCTGACTCGGCGTGGAGACCTCCCTGCCCAAGGCAGAATTCGAGACTCCTCCAGCGAGCATCCCACGTTCCCGGCTCTGCAGTGAAACGACCACCAAGCAGGGACACATGGGCTCGGCAAAGTGGGCGTGCTACGCGTGACAGGAAACCTCTTTGCTCATTACGACCATCTCCCCTTTCACATCCCTCCCACTGGTAAACCTCCCCCTTTGCTCTCATCAATACACACAGTCACACGTGCAGTTTTACCACCGCCATCACAGGTAGAATAGAACGAGGGTCAGGGAGCCCTGGCTGCTTGATTTCACTGGGCTCTGGTCAGTTTCTAATGTGAGGTCTTGCCCTTTACCCACAGCCGGCTCTGTGCCTGGGGTAGCGGGCTTGGGCTTGCAGCGAGGAGGCAGGCTGAGCGCAGGGGCAGGGGCAGAGGCTGCAGAGGGTACAGACTGCAGCAGGGACACGGGAGGACAGTGGGATGGAGACGTGGTATGCAGAGGTAGGAGGAAGACACTGGAGAGGGGAGGAGAGGGTGTTCAGGTTCACGTGTGGGAGGTACAGCCAGGCTCTGGGGTGGAGCTGAGAATACCTGATTAGTGGTCCTCTCAGCTGGGGGCTCCTTGGACTTGGAGGGCAGCAGGGCTGCCAGGCTCTGCTAAGACCAGGGCAGGTGGGAGCCAGGACTGACTGGGGAATCACACTGGCATTCCGTCTGCCCTGCTCTCCAACCCTTTTCTCTTTCTGCTCACCCCCTCTCTCCTCTCTTTCCATCTTATCGATTTCTTTTCCTGTTACCTCACCATAAAACACCATGCCACTTAAAACTTTAGCAAAGATGAGTGTATTTTTTGTTCTTTATCTCATAAATAGAAAGTCTAGAAGACGTTTTTGTTCTTTCTCTCATAAACAGAAAGTTTAGAAGATGACTTTTAAATTCTGTGTGAACTTTGACTTAATGTATCAACAGATTTAACTTGTTAATGAGAAACTCCAAAAGTTTCCTCACCCTGATGCAAAGAGAGGCATTCGTTTGATTTAAAACAACAACTCAGAACCCTAGATTTTAGAATTTCTCCAACTCGAGAGAATATTCTCTCCCAAAATTAAGCATCCTGCCTGGCTACTAGGAGCTCCTTCAGAGGCTCACCAGTCCCAGATCCTCCCTCCCACCTCCATCTCCTTGAAATACTCACAGTTTCCACATCGCCAATGGCTGCCACAAATTTAATATCAGAAGGTCTCAGAGAGTGGACTGCAAAGACAGGAACCCATGGAGGAAGGTCAGAGCTACATCCCGGACCACGTGAGCCAAGGTCACCAAATGGGAGAAGCAGACACCTGTCCCCCGGCCCGAGGACAGCCTCTGAGGTTGTGTGTGCCGCCGTGGAAGTGCAAAGCTGGAAATCAGGCAGTTGTGGGAGCCCAGCCTGAAAGAGGTTTACTCCTCTCTGGAGATCATGTTGTCAACTGAACTCAAGATCTCCAAATACATGTCCCATGGAAGGTCACTCATGGCCCTTATTTCCCTCTCCTGACCCTCTTTCTGCTGTGGGCCACCATTAGTAATAAGAGAGCAACACATCAAAAGGAAAACCATCTGGGTTCAAAAGGCATCATGTTATCATGTTAGCTTGAAGATTTGCCAGAGAACAGCACTCCAAGCCTGTGAACACACATAAACACCAGATCAAGCTGCATGCAGATGGCACAGCAAGAAACCTCCATGACCCGCCTGGGCCCCCGGCATTCTTAGAATTAAGTCTCCCTAGAAACCACTGACATACTCCTTGGTCGCGTTTCTGGGGCCTCCTAAAGAAGCCACTTCCTAAGAAGTATGGCGATTTCTTTTTCTACCCACACGCCTTACATAGCAGAATAGTAAGAACAGTATGCTTAGCTGGAAACCCTGGCAAATTATTACAATGCAGACATAAACAAGGCCATTGAACATGGTCAGTGATGCAGCTGGAGCAGAGGACCAGCTCAGGAGTAATGGTCACAGCATCCAGGCATTAGGCAAACCTAGCCCATTTTAGGAAAAATATGTCTAGGGCAGCCACTGTGGCTACACTGTAGGATTAGGGGAGGCACGTGAGTGACCAAGCTCCAACCCACAGCTCCTGTGACACGGTCCACCCACCTGCAGGTGAGCTCCCGGAGGTCACCCTCACCCAGGCAAACCACTGCGGGCCCATGTTGGTTTTATCTCTGAGTGGTGTGTTGGGCTGTGTCCCTCCATAGAAATGACTGAGGGTGACAAAAGAGGAGGCTGAAGGACTAAGGATGGGGAAGAATGAGGACCTGAATGACCAAAGAGTGCAAGAAGAGAGTGGTTGGAGCCTCTGCTGGCCACACCAGAGAGAGGACTCTGGCCTTTCTAGCTCATGGCTCAGGGTCACGTACCTGAGTTAGAAGGCACTTCGGATCCTGACTTCTGTGGGTTGCATGAGAACGGAAGACTCTTCGAGGTCTGCCACTGAAACCAGACATCAGAAACATCAACTGTACGGAAATCCTGCAGGTCCTGAAAGCTTGGTACAGAAATGACCATGTCCTTGTTCTGTCTAGGCTCAGAATCCAGAAGCACCAATCGTCCATAGTCATGTTCTTCTAACCCTATACCCAATTCACCCTGCAAAACGGGGCATGTGTCTACTGGCAATGATTGTAGCAGGTGGCAGGTAAGGACGCCTCAGAACAGTAGAATGGAGAGGGAGGGAGGATGATAGAAAACAAAAACCAACTACTGGGGTAACAAGAAAGTTTTGGAGATGGATAGTGGTGATGGGTGCACAACAACGTGAATATACTTAACACCATTGAACTGTACGCTCAAAATTGGTAAATTTTGTATGTGTATTTCACTGCAATATGAAAAGAAATCACCAAGAGACCCAGCATATCTGGACTAAAAAGTAACCAAATCTATTCTATGCTATTATATTTTTTGTATTACCTACTTTCCCTCTTTAAATTTGATTATTTATAGAGCAGGTATAGGAGGTATATTCTGTTTATTTGCTGCTGGTAACTGGATAAAGTGGAAACCAGGAGACTCTCATGTCCTCACTGGGCCAGCACATATCCTAAGCCCAGAGGGGCTGCTGAGAGCAGAGGAGGGACCGGGTGACCAGTGCTCGGATCCTCAAGGCCACTCAGCCTCCTCAGATACCCCTGCAAATCCAGAGCAGCCTCTGTTGCAAAATCATATGGAGGGCTCTGGGAAGGGAAATCATATGTTCTCTCCCCAGAATCGAGAGCGAAAGGGGAGATGCTCCAATGGGGAAACATGCAGAACTGAGTTGCTTGACCACCTTTCTCTATCACAAGGAGACACAAGTTAATTTCTCATGAATTACTGATTTCGGTAAGACGTAAAAGCATTTACTCTCAATTCTTATCTTGTGGATGTTCTGGGAAGACCTCACTCAGATGCCTTCAAATAACTCACAGTATCTGCTTCAAGGTTCACAGAGATAACAAGCCCATTTGTAACTCTGTCTGGACACTTCTGGGCACCACCTGCTCAGTCTGCTGGGATGACAAGCCCCAAATTCCAGGAGATACACTCATGCTCCCTCTGCTCTGCCAGGCAGCCCGACTGTCCCCAGGGAAGCAGTGTGTCCAGCCCGTTCCCTCAAGGCCTCTGGGAGGGACCTGCCAACTTTCATCAAGACTTAGATTCACCCTCTAGAGGGGAACTCACTCCCCGACCCATGAGGACAAAGCCCTGACCTCCGGCCATAGTTGGTCTTCCAATGCATTCTCTCCAGGAGAGGTATGGGCCTGGGTGCTTCCTAAAAGAAAGCAAAAATAGTTCAGGTTATTTAGCTGGAATTAACTCCCATCATATTTGCAGCTTTCATGCCCTTCCTCCCAGCCCTACCTATGTGCCCTGCTCAGTAATATCCCTTGTGTTAGGAAAGCCCAGGTACCATTCCTCCAAGGATCACCTTCATTGTTGGGGACACTGTGCTTCCATTAATGCAGCCTATTAAGGCAGAAGCCCTGGGTTGTAAAGCAAAAGTGTTATCTGGGAGAGATCAGGAATAACCCTACATCACTCATGGGCACATTACCACCAATTCCTTTATTAGTTCCTGGCAAAGGGTAGAACTCTTGAGGAGAATAATGTTGGACAAATAGTTGCTGTTGTTCAGGAATCCAGGACAAATCAGGGAAGGGAAAGGATATTCTGGAACAGTCTGAATGGTGGTGTGAGCTTAGGAGAAGAGCTAATCATGGCATCCCCAGCAGCCAAGACTGTACATAATGGCTGGACAGGGGTTGTCTTGAGGGGTCTTAGTGAACGTAAGGTGGGGAGACGGCAAAGACACTGCTCTCATCCCAGCTAACACTGGACCAGTCTTTTAAGGCTTTTTTTTTTAACTTTGCATACATTTAAATTCTTTAAATGTATGCAAATTTAAATTTAAATTACATAAAATTTAAATTTAAATTACATAAAAAATTTTATGAGTTCTCCCATCAAACATTTAGATTTTTAAATACATAAATAACAGTATAGTACAATAATAGCACTCCCCTAAAGGAATCAAAACCCCACCCACAGTGCCATCACCCCTACAACCAAGAGTGGTTTCACGTGTTCACACCCCCTTGTCCATCAGGCTCCTGATCAGTCACACTTCTCACTCAGGTGTAATAAATGCGGATGCAATTTTGTATCCTACAAGCTCCCTTTAATGTTGTATCATGAGCTTTCTTCCCATTGTTACATGATCGTGATGCTTACTTTCAACAGCTTCATGAAACATGACACTGATACGGAATCAGAGGTCTGATTCTTTTGCCTCCTTTGGCTTCTCTCCACCCAGTTTCTGTCCAGGGTGCACACTCCCTGTAAGGGCATACCATGCAGGGACCCCCAGACAGCAACAGACAAAGCCAGAGGGAGGCCTAACCTGGGGCGAAGGGCTTGATTTCTTTTCCACTCCAGCCTTTTTCTGCAGCCTTACTTTTTGACCCTGAAAACAATCCATCTGAAGTTTCATGAGGAACATGAATATATTTCCAGTTCATGCCCACGGTGAGATCAGGCACTGATTTCCATGTTGGAGCTTATAACAGGAATGATGGCTATAACCTGCCCCCAGGTCTCAGTGAGCCTTTTAAAATCCCCAGAACAAAGCTTTCTGGACAGAAAGAGTTACAGGATGGGAGGGCCCGGGGTGTGGACAAGCACAAAGCACTGGGAAGGGCTGGAGCACAGGGTTTGCAACTGGAGGGGAGGGGAGGGGAGGGGAGGGGCGACAAGGCTGCAGAGAGAGCTGGCAGCTGGGCTGTGGAGCTGTGAATGCCAGGCTACCCCACGAGCAACAGGGAGCTGTGACCGGTCTCTGTAGAGACAAGTGTTAGGGTGTGTTTTAAGATGATCATCACTCAGGGTAGACGAATTAGCAGGGCAGAGATTTGGGACCATTTTTGAAACATTCTTTTTAAGCCAGCATAAAAATGTATGTGGTAGCATGTATGAAGTTTTTAGGTACCAGGCCCTGTTTTAAGCACTTACATGAAATAATTAATTTAATTCTTACAACAACTCTATGAGATAAATGCTATTATCCCCACTTGACAGTTAAAAAACAGGCCCAGGAAGGGTAAGTGGCATTTTAAAGGTGACACAGTCAGCAAAGGATAATGGCAGGGTTCGAAACCAGCAGTCTGGCTCCGTGGGCCATGCTCAGAACCAACAAGCTAAGTGTAAGTCACAGCTTAAGATTTAGACCAGGGATTGACAAAGGTCTTCTGTAAAGGGCCAGACAGTCAGTATTTTAGGTTTTGCAAACCATACATTCTCTGTCACAATTACTCAGCCCTGCCGCTGTCCTGTGAAAGCCACCAAAGATAATATGCAAACAAATTAACTTTATGGAGACAAATTTGAATTTTATGTAATTTTCATACGCCACAAAATACCTTTCTATTTTTCTCAACCATTTGAAAACCCACTTGTGGATGTCAACAAACTGCTTTTAAAGTTTCCATGGAGAGGCAAAAGCCCCAGAATAGCCAACAGAATATTGAAGGAGAGGAACAAACTCAGAGGCCTGGCAGTGCCCAACTTCAAAACTTCCTATAAAGCTACAGGGTGGTATTGGCAGAAGATCAGACAAACAGATTCATGGGACAAGAGAGACAGCCCAGAAACAGACCCACATAAATAGAGCCAACTGATCTTTGACAAGAGTGCAAAGGCCACACAATGGAGAAAAGACTGTCTTTTCAACAAATGGAGCTGGAGTAACTAGACGTCAATGTGAAAAAATGAACCTAAAAATGTAAAAATCATCCTTAGCTCACAGGGCATACAAAAAGAAGCAGAAGCCTAGATTTGGCCCATGGACCACTGTTTGCCAACCAATGCCTGATCTAGACCCCACTGAAAAGAGGTCAGCAAGGCGAAGTGGGAAGATGGCATCTCTGGTGATCGGCAATAGCCCTTGGCCCCAGGCATCCCACATGGGAGCCTGGGACCTACCTCTAGATCACCAGGCTGGTTGCCACCACCACAACCCCTCACTGGGCTTTGCCAGGACCTTCACAACTAGAGGAACGCAGGTACCTCTCCCGTGGTCTTAAATGTCCCATTCAGCACACCTCCTAGTCCTCCAGGCTTTAAGTCTGAGAGAGAAAAAAGAAATGCTCCTCAAAGAAAGGCTTTGGTCCCTGCTACAAATAGTAGTTTACTTTAAAAAAAAAAGAAAAGATTTTTATGACCATGGATATGCTTGTATTCTATAGTTTATACATTAAAAAAATTTAATACTATAAGCGGAAGATACTGCCTGTACAAAACGTATATTGAAATGTGTTGATTTTGATGAAAAGCGCTGTTGTTTCATTATCAAAACAAGCCAGAGAGATAGATGTCATCATTAGTACAATTTTATAGCCACAAAAGTTAAAATCTTCTTTAGAGAGGTGGGGCTGGATTGACAGCTCCTACCTGCTGACTCGAAATCTAAAATATTTTAAAGAGTTTCAAAAGAGGTGGTTTTTGAAGACGATAGATATCTTTCCCTGCAGTCATTATAGAATCTTCTGGCCCTAATTTTTCCCTCTGCAGACATTCTATCATGTACTTCCACACTGTGTGCATTGCATGCGTGTGTGTGCCCATCTGTTGAGAGTCATAAAGGCACCATGATCTTAAGGGGTCAAGAGCCAGGGAAAAGGAAAATGAAGAGAGTGAGCCCAACATTTGATGCTGCTTTTGCCCTTGAAACATTTGCCAAATCACAGTGACAGAAATCAGCAGGTAAGTGGTTAATATGCTGGGCAGAGCTTCAGGGAGCTCCATGGAGCTGGGGGAAGCAGGGGAGTCCAGTACTCATCAAGGAGGAGGGGCCCTGGTGAGTGTCCCAGGCTCTTAGTTGAAACTTCAGAGAACTAGACCCCTGGAAGAAGGGTAAAGGGGAAATAGACCAGTCTCCAAAAAGACTGAAGCCCACCTTTGAGTGAGTTTGATTCCCAATATTAGATTAGGGTGATCTGCCCCTACCTAACTGCTTGCCAAAAGCAAAGCCTTTATGGAGGAAGATATCACCATCTAGAACATAGAATTATATAATCTTTCATATACAATGCCCAGCTTCCGATTTTTAAAAAATTGCCAGGAGACAACACCAAATAAATGGAAACCGTGAGAGAGAAAACCAAAAGAGATGATAGACAGTGAAAAGTGGTGGCCTAATGTGGGAACAAATGGATACTATCTGCAGCTTCATTAGCCTGATGCTTTGTTCCCAGCTGGGGCGAGGGGTGAACCCATGGGATACTCAGTGGGGCAATCCAGACATGAGAAGGAAGAAAGAGCAGGGCTGAGATACGCTCTTCACATATTCCTGGCTGGCGGGAAATCTGTGTGTGCGCTGGGAAGACCTGCAAGAGCCCCATATGAAGTTAAAATGAAGAGAAACTTGAGAATTGGCTGCAACTCTGTGTTCATTCCCCACTCTACACGCAGACTAATTAGCAGAACCTTAGCCTTCTTCACGGGGCTATTGTGAGAACAGGAAAGTGCTGGGTGAATAGTGGAGGCTGTACACAGGCTCGGGGTGACTTGTGTCCCTGCATGAAAGGAAGGCGCATGCCCTGGGCAGTGGGGAAGACAGTCAAGGCCAACACATGGAATTAAAGCCACTCTTCAGTGTATATTAAATTTGAGGGCTCTTTGGAAAGTGTAATACTCTCACAGCAACCCTAAAGGGTAAGCAGATGCAGGATTTATGATACCGTTGGCATGTTTACAGGCTCAGGGAGGCCAGGCGACTTCCACCATCTCACACAGACCACATTGGCAAGGGCGGGGTCCAGACTCGCACCGGCACTGCCATCCACTAACCAGTGAGCCATCCTGGGGACCTGGGGGAGTGGGGGGTCCAAGCCAGCCAGGGTTCATCTACTGTACTGTTTTGGGCCATAAACAGGTCTTTGGGGCTTTTTCTGTCCTTTCCTGCAGCAGCTCATCCCCAGTCACACCTCGGGCCTGTGGGATGCTGCTGTGGACCTATGAGCTGTCACTGCCCACGACTACCCGTGGGTGCTGTGTCAGAAACCACAGGGCATTTTGGGTGCTGCTCCTGCACCAGCGGTGCTCTGAGGAGCACAGGCTGTTAGGGTCCTTCCATCAGCATGGTGCTCGGTAGTCACATGGCACAGTCAGGGAAGGTGACCCCAAGGGCCAGAGAATCTTTCTGAGGTAGCTAGACTGACCTCTGTCTTAGAATTCAAGAATGGCCGAGGTGGGTAGATCTTTGAGACCATCTTGTTT